CAGCCCGGTCTAAACAACAAGCACCATGTTGTGGCCATGATGGCCACCAGGGGCCCCTTTTATAAAATGGCTTCCTTATGTCACCTCGGAACCCCGGCACCGAACTTTTGAAAGGTCGCCCATGGCTGTGGGTGGCTGACTTCAGCTCCAGGCCGGCGTTGCCTGCACAGATGCGTGCTTGGCCGCAAACTCTGGTCCCCCCGAAAGGTTGATGTGGTGGACTACGTCTCCATAAGGAAAGGATCCAACCACTCCATTATTTTGCTGTTGCCGAGATGAGAATGTTTGTGGAGGCTGACTGGAAAGATCTGTAATTACTCCATGGGGGAATAGTTGCGGCCCCACATACTTGGTCAAGATGGATAATTCCTAGAGACGTGGGAGCGTCTGAGGCCTCCCGTCCCACCGCGGTGCGCTCACCGGCAAGCAGTGAGGGCGTTTGACTCGTTTAGAGTAAATCAGCCGCGGTGCCTTTTCTTCTGGAACTTTTTTTTTTTTAATTTATTTTTGTATTCCCCATACAATTGCAACCCCCTTATTTTGACCCCAACCCCTCCTTTCCCCGACCCCCTTCTGGAACTTCTTGTGTGAGGAACCCCAGTGCCTCGCTGACTTGAAATGCTCTCTGCGCCCCAGCCATGAATTCAGACGTGACGAGGAAGCCAGGGTGACGGCCGCGTGTTTGGAATCCTGAGCCACTTTTTAATCCCGCAAAGTCAATTAACTGCATTGATTTTTCTACCTGTCAGGTGGAGTTAGCCCAGTGGAAGCCCTGATCCCTGCCTCCCGCCTACCCCCCTCCCCACCAGCTCCCAGAATTCCCACCACGGTTACTAGCTAACCTTCTTTTCACTAATCACTTTCCACCTGGAAGCTCAGTGCCTTCCACACCTGTTAACGTTCTGCAGACACTAGATGCCTTTGGGGGCCCATGTCTGCCTGCTCCCCTTATTCTAGATGGGTGCTCTGTCTGATGTCTGCTTGTTTGCGTGATTTCTCCTTTGTCAACAGCCTCACAGCTCTTGTTAAGATTCATTTTGTTGTGGCTTTACATCCTTTGATGCCTCCTCTCTCTCTCTCAAGCAGTTCAGAGACCATTCACAAATGCAAAACAGCAAGAGGAGGTTAAGTAAGGACACCTGGCTACCTGTGGCGACTTCAATTTAAAATCATTTAAGTTAAGATTTTTCCCTGTAACAAGGGCTCGTCAGCCACGTGTGGCTGGTTTTCAGCATGGCTAGCAATAGAGGACGCACTGCCGTCGTCACAGAATTATCCCAACACACACACACACAGCTGCTCCTACAAGAGCTGCTCAAAATACCACAAAACATGCAGCAAAATGTCTTGCTTTTCTCCAGGGCAAATCTTGAAGCTTCTGTCATGTTTCCAAGGCTCAAGGCTTTTATAAAGCAGGGCAGGGAGGTGACTGGCCAACGATGCCCCGTGCTTTTGCACGGAAAATCATACGTGGCACGAGTACAAGCTACGCTATTGTGTGCGAACTCTGTGTACAATAGACCTTGGCAAAGCTGGCTTATTGATCAAAATGAAAATGACCGCTATGCTTGTCCCTTTTGAGCGTCAGACACTGGGGTTTGCCCACTCGGCCCCTGGCCAGGGCTGCTCTGCCACCTGTTTTAGTTTTCGTTTGGAAGCCGCATCCACTGAGTGTTTGCTGCAGGAGCAGGCGGCCATCACGCCGTTAAGGAGGGTCAGCTGTGCCCTCTTCTCTCTCCCCTGCAGGGGGGAGGCGCTTGTGTCCTGCCTCGCTGGCTTTTTGGCCCAGGTGTGCTGTCTTAGGAGCGTCTGCGCAGCCACAGTTCCTGTCTGTTTCCTTCACATCCCTGTAGCGTCTGGGGGGAGGGAGAGTTCTTTTTTAATATTCATTTTATTACATCTTTCTTAACTTTTAGAAAGAATCTGATTTCTCCCCTCCATGTTATCCGCGTAGTTCTCGCACAATCACAGCACCCGGGATCCATGTCTGCTGTCCCGTGTGCTCTTCCCTCCCGGTTTGATCCCTCCCCCTGCCCTGCTACCCACCCCCTCAGGAGGGGGAAAGTCTTGAATAGTAATAGTTCCGCCTCCAGCGGAGGCACAGGGCTCCTGGCCCGGGGGAGCTGGGCTGTCTCACCGTAGCTGGACCCCAAAGATGCCAGGACCAGTGCGCCTGACCCCAGCCCCTTCTGTGGGCGCAGCGGTAAGGAGGCCCTCTATGGTACCTTCCCGTGTTGGAAGAGGAGTGGCTTTAGGATTTGATGGGTGCAATTTTGGTTCCTGTGAATGTCTTCTGTGCCCAGCACTGTGGTTCGTGTTTCGTACTGTTCATCCTTACGGAACACCGTTAGGTGATCGTTGTTCTTGCTGTTTTCTCAACTCACAGGTAGGGAGACGAGGCTTAGGGAGGGTGTAGAGGCAGGACTGGACACGGTGCAGGTTTTCTGATATCCAGCAGACCGGGTAAAGGAGGAATCGGAGTCCTCAGTGGTTTTGCAGGGTTTTTATTGGGGTTCACCAGGCATATGGCAGGCAGGGGTGCTGGGGGGCCGGGAGGCTGGCAGGCCTGCCAGCCCCCAGAAAATCCTCACTCTATCCGGGCTCTCTCTGCTTCTCTTGGCTTCTGCTGCTGCTTTCTCAGCTTCTCTTTCGGCTGCTGCTGGCGTCCCCGTGACGCCGCCCTTAAAAGCCCAGTCTCAGCCCAGGTGAATCCCATCTACCTAGGCCCACACCCCAGTCCAGGTGCCGCCATCAGGCATGCATTCAGGACCGCGAGGATCCACCGTCTCTCCTGATGGCGGGAGGGCAGAAAAGCCTGACATTTTTCCTTACCCTACAGAGGGTAAGTTGGCAAACTCAGTGGGTTCCGGACACCAAGTGGTTTTTGAAATCTGGACTGTCTGGCTGTCTCTCTGCTTGTGATTCTAGGAGCTTTAGGACTAACGTTTAACAAGAAAGGACTCAAAACAGCAGCCTCAGAGCCGTTCGCTTGTAACAGGAGAACAACTTCCTGCCTCCCCCACCGGATCCTTCCCCCCAGTCTCAGCCCTAAGCATGATTCCTCCAACCTGTAGCTGCAGGGCGCACCCCCATCCCCTGCCCTGGAGGCGCCTCTCACCCACTCCTGCCCTCTAGTGGCCGAGTCAGTGTTTAATGCGTGGATTTTCCCCTTCCGGAATTCCCAAGGATGCGGAAGCCCAGCAAGGGAGGCTGAATCCACACAGTACGTCTTGCTGATGTGTAGAGTACGTGCGTGCAGAGATCATATTACAGATGCCTAGAGTGTGTGTCGAGTACATTAAATATACACAACTGTTAAATAATATGTAAACATGGCATGTAAGGGAAAGCATTTTAAAAATATAAATATGTATAAATACATATTAACATATCCTTGCAACATGTATAATTACATCAGATACACACTATATTTGTATAGATATTAATATAGTAAATGTGTGCACATATACATATGAGGTTGTATGTCAGCATATGTTAGTATAACCTGTTACTCTGGCTAGTTTGTTTTTGAATCTCACCACCCCACGTATTAACAGGAGGTTGATGTCCCGGAGTTTACTGAGCCACACATTGTTCTTGTTCTTACACGCACACAGCGACAGGCTCCCGGGCCTCGTTCCGCCTCCCGGGGTCAGAATGCCCAGGTAGACCAGGTGGACGCGTCCCATCTGGCTCTGAGCTTCAGTTTGTCTTTGTGTCTCAGTCTAATGAGATGAGCCCCCATTTCGTTGGGGGGGCAGGGGAGGCCGGGTGTTGAGTAACTGAGCCTGGCGTAGCTCAGGGCTGCCTGACCAACCAACGGCCGCATCCGCCTGCTTCTCTGGGAAGGGATCTCCTGGCCCCGACCAGAGCCAGGTCTGCGTCCTGCTGAGGGGCGGCCTGGGGTGCCCGGCACTGTCAGCCGTGGTTAGGGCCTGTCTCTACAGCAAGGCCGTCTGCCCACTGGAAATCCACCCGTGGACTTCGTGTTGGCCCTGGGGTGGGGGTGAGCGGGGGTTCATCCTGGTGACCTTGCCCCACCTGCGCCTGCAGCTGTGAAAGTGTTTCTTGGCCCTCGCGCCCTCATCTGTGGGGAGGAAGTCCCTCCCTCACTGCCAGTGGAAGTGGGAGGTCCCCAGGTCTCCCCTTGCCGACTCGAAAATATCTACATTGCACCCTTTGAATGAACCAAAGGCCTTTGTGTGCTGAGCAGCATTCCCTTTTGAAAGTTTGGGGGTCCCTTGTTACAGTACCAGATCAGAGCCACGTACCCACACACCCAGTCGAGACGGTGTCCTGTCTCCTTGTGCAGACGTGCGGTGCATAGTCCGAATCAGGCTGTTCTGGCTCAGACAGGGGCTCAGACACGGCTGAGACATCGGCTTGAGCCCTGAGCTGTGAGGAATATGAGTGTGAACCCCCATGCTCTGGGGGAAGCACACGCATCTTTGCCAGCGGGTCTGGGAGGCTCTGGCCCTCCCCTGTGTGCCTGGGTCAGCCGTTCTGCCCTCTGGGTCACGGTCCCATCCCCGCCCCCCATGCCCGGATCTCCTGGACTTCGTCAATCACATTTTCTCTTCTCAAGAACTTCCCACAAAATCTTCGTTTCAGGCTCGGGGCTCTCGGGAGCAGAAACCTTGATTTTGAGGCTGAGTCTGGCTCCTCACAAGTGTTTGCGGGTAGAGCGGGTTATATGGGCGTCCCACTGCTAGTGTCCCTGTGCTGATGGCACGACACGAAGATCCTGTGCGTGGACGGGGCAGAAAGAAAACATGAGACCAAACTAAAAAGATCAGAAAATGTTCCTCTTCGTCTCTTACAAAACACAAATCGAGTTCTTTGTCTGCAGCACGACTGGGGTGATTTCCAAGTCTCCTTCCGGCACTGAGATGCTGTGAGGGTGCAGAGGGGTCGTGAGGGGCGATGCCGTGTGACACGGGAGGGGGTGGGGGGGACATTTCCCTGCAGATTTCGCTGCTAATGCTGTGCTTTGCCCCCAGGGAAGGCCGATCCAATGCCCAGCTCAAAGATTACCAAAGAATCGGGGACGTCATGCTGAAAAACATCCAGGGCATGAAGGTGAGCGCGGGGCCTGGCTGGGGCGGCCAGGGCTGGGCAGCCAACACAGCCAGGACACACCTGTCCCCCCTGATGATTTTATTGGGAAGCATAAAGGAAAATCCACTCACTGTGGGGGAAGCAGTTTTAGTACTTTTTCTCTTCAGAAGTTCTGTGTTGTAACCCAAGCAGTAGGTGTTTTCTGTGACCAGGTCATTTAAAACTTAAAAATTATGCAAACAAAACATTTTTTAGTACAAGGAATATTTCACCTTTGGCTTCTGGCAAGCTTGGAGGTGTGTGGGGATTCCAGTTGGTTCTATGACCCTAAGTGAGCGCACAGTGTGTGTATTTTTAACCATCCGGCCACCTCGCCAAGCTACCAGAGAATCCAGCATGTTGAGATGATGCTCTACCTCATTTTTTTAAATCTGCCCATTTCTTTTATCTGAAGTTGGTTTTTTTTTTTTTAAAGATTTATTTATTTATACAAGAGCCAGGGTACAGGCTAGAGGCATGGGAGGGTGAGAAGATTCACCAGAGACAGAGTGGGGAGCAGAACAGGCAGACTGACGAAATACACTGCTGAGGGGAGCAGCGGGCAAGAAAGGAGAGGTCTGCTGTGCCATGTGGATTTCTCCCTGGCTGGCCGGGGATCGAACCTGCGCTGCAAAGGCTGTGGATAGCTTCACAGCGCTGAGCTCAACCCGCTGCGCCACTGGGGGGGCCTTATCTGAAGTTTTCATTGTTAATTCATTCATAATTGCTTTCCTCTAGAAAGTTTTAATTCGCACAATTTATCTTTCATCTCTCAACTGTCCAGGGCTTAATTTTCTTAACTGGCAAGTTAAGAGCAAGGTAATACCCCCCTGGAGGTCACTTGCTCATACTGCCAGTATTTCATTCTGTCCATCCATTCATCTGTCCGTCCGTCTGTCCATCCATCTAGTACTTGCTGAGCACCTGCCACATATATGGCACTTGCAGAATAAAAATCACCACAGGGGTTTGAAGCAGTTCCCAAGAACTTGGCTAAGTTGTTGGGCATTTCATTGTTTCCCCTGAGAACCGAGGCAGGACAAGGAGGAGGTGGGGGGGCTGCTACTGGGAAAGCTGGAACCTGAGGCGACTCAGGAGGTTGCCTGTCCGTCTCTCCCCTTAACAAAGACCAAGCCCTCTGGCTCTCACTTGCTTTTTTCACTATATCCAAAAAGCAAAACTCCCCTCTTGGGGCCAGATCAGAGAGACGCCTGGGGGCCAGTGGGGCTGTGGATCCTATGCAGATGCGGAGGTGGCGCAGGAATTATCTAAGATGTTCCGCACATGAGTATTTTTAATGCCATCAGAAAGGCTGAGGCACAAAACTCAGATCTGACAGTAGTAGGCGTCGTTTTACTTCCCATGGCGTTTATTAACCTTACACTTAATTACACGCTATAATGTTTATTAATGTTTTTATTAACTGATCTATTTTAGAGCAATATTAGGTTCACAGAGAAACGGAACAGGAAGCCATGCCCCGCCCCGCACCCCCGGCGCGGACATCTGCGCGGGTGCGGGACACGTCACACGTGATAAACCCTTCTCCGTGCGTGTCTCAGCCAATCGGGGCCCCACAGGGAGTCACGCTTGGTGCCGGGCATTCTGTGTGCCTGGCGACGCGTGCACCGTGGCCCGGTGCAGGGTCCTGGGCATCACCCCGGCTCGCCCCGGCCTCCCTGCTTTCCCCAGGCCCTGGCATCCTCTCGTCCCTCTCCCTCTAGCTTTGCCTTTTCCAGAACGGCACAGAGTGGGGATCCTGTGCTATGTAACCTCTCCGCTGTTAAAAATGCCCCTTTCCGTCTCTTCCGTGACGTGCTCGTGTCACTTCCCAAGTGATCTCCCGCATCACGAGCCCCTCTTCCCGCCTCCTGCACTTCCTCTCCGCCCCACTGGCTTCTCACCCCGTCTCATGGGGTCCCTTCACGTGAGGGGCTGCGGTGGGGGCTCCCATCTGCTCTGTTCCCCTCAAAGAGCCTGCGATTCCTCTGGAGACACCTGGGACACCCACCAGCAGTTCCGCCCTTGGGGACGGTCCCCAGAGGTGTCCCAGCCGCCTTCAAGGTCTTCTCCGGACCGTGTGCCACGTGCCGCACTCCCGGCCCCTCGCTGGTACCCAGCGCCCCGGGCTCCTAAAAATACACCCGATTTCTGCTGCGAGCACGTCTTTCTACTTGGTCTAATGAGTTGGCATTTTTGCATTCAGTGCTGGCATTTTAGTTACTGAGCTGACGCCACGAGCATTTATAGCATGAAGCTCTGTGTGAGCAAAATAAAAATAGAGGCTTGGAGGGCCGCTGAAAGCCTTTTGCAAATTGTTGTTTTTTTTTTTTTTTTAATTGTGGTTGTTCGTGTTGGTTTTAAAGAATTTTTATGAGGTGTAAAGGGGAACAGCAGAAAGTTCTAGAGATGTAGAAAGCCAGGTGAGCGCTTCTGTCCACAAGGCTGAGTGATCTTGCAGTGCCTTCCCCACCCCCACCCCCACCTCTCCAGGGGCCCTGAAGGGGAGCTGTCAGTAGCTTCAGCCCCACTGGCTGTTCCAGGCCCTCCCCCAAGGGGGACGGAGGACTCCAATCCCTGCCTGAAATCCACTTTTGGCAAGAACACTGCTAAGTCAGTTGAACCAGAACCTCCCCCCATGGATATCCCGTCACCCTTGAAACTGGGTCCTCATCCCTCCACGCTCCACCCCCACCCCCAAGGTGTCTGAATACCTGGCCTGCCTTCTGGGCTGGGGACCCCGATCCCTGCCTGGAAGTCAGATACCCAGGTCATGAGCTCTCGCCCACGCTGTGCAACTCCAGCTACAAACATCTGCCCAGAGGCACAAAGGCTCAAAACGCACGGAGAGAAGGGCCCCCCTTCCATCTCAAGCCTTCTCTTGCCGCCCTCACTGCACGCCCGCTCCTGTGTCTGTCCCTCGTGACCTAGAGATGGGGGGAAATTGTAGGTGTGGGGTCCCTGCAACAGGATTTTACTATGGGGGAGAGGGGCTCGGCTGCAAACGCAGCGGACACGTGAGAACATGCAGCCAAAATGCAGGGGCAGGAGCAGGGGTCAGTGGATGGAAAATTACTAAGAGAAAACAGCAGGGGCCGGGGAGGCTCTGGCTAAGGGCTCCAGCAGGAGGCTTTGCTGAAGGCAGGCCAGGGTATTTGGACACTTCAGGGGGGTCGGGGGTGGAGCCCGAGGGATGAGGACCCCAGTTTCGAGGGTGACCGGATATCCACGGGGGGAGGCTCCGGCTAGGCTGACCTAGCCGCGTTCTTGCCGAAGCTGGACTGGGCGAGGCCCGCACAGCCGGCCTGGGAGAAGGCTCCGGGCTGAAGCCAGTCTAGTCAAGCGAAGGCTCTTGCTCCGACCCCAGCGGCCCCGGGCCCGTCTCTTGTACCCCACTGCCCGGAGCCGGCGGGCAGGAGGCGCGTGCAGAAGCAGCTGCTGTGCGGGGCTTTCTAGACGGGCGCGCGCTCTCTGTGAGGGGTGCGGGGGGCGCTGGCCTGCTGGAGGCCGCGTGCCATGTGGAGGAAGCCACCCGGGAGCTCCTGTTCGTGCTCCCGCCGCCTCGCTGGTGTTTTCAGAAAGCTCGTGCCTCACCAGCACGTGCGGCGGCGCCCGACGACGCTGGCTCCTGAGAGCGCTGGCGAGAGACACAGTCTTGGCCCCGGGGAGCGAGAGGACTCCTCCGGGGCCCGCTTTCCTTTTACCTCGTTCCCTTCAAGTCGCGGCTCCGGGAGGCCGCACACTGCCCGCACCTCCCCTGCTCCAAGTCTCCCCGCTGCCCAGCGCCTGCGCGGAGCTGCCTCTTGCACCCTGAGAACCGGCCTGAAAGTGACGGGATGAAATGGTGAAAGCGAAGGGGCCCCCCGCAGGCAGGCCTTCGGGTGGGGGGCCCAGGCCTTCGGGTCACTGAGGGGCTCCCCGTCCTGTGTTCTCCCCCCAGCCACTGGTGGCTCACCTGTGGAAGCACAGCGAGGCCTTGGAGGTGCTGGAGACCAGCATCCGGAGCTCGCGGCGGCTGGAGAACGTGTGCAGGGACTTCGAGCTGCAGAAGGTGTGCTACCTGCCGCTCAACACCTTCCTCCTGCGCCCGCTGCACCGGCTCATGCACTACAAGCAGGTGCTGGAGCGGCTGTGCAAGCACCAGGTGCCCAGCCAGGCCGACTTCCGGGACTGCCGAGGTGAGCGCGGGCCCGGACGGGGCAGCCCTGCCTTGTGTTTGTGACCTCTTGATGGCTCCCCAGGCTCACCAGGCCCTCCGCCTCTCTCCTTCCGCTTCACATCCATTTCCCCCGTTGGTCCTGGGTGGTTCGGTGCACGGAACCCGGAGGAGCTCCCTAAGAAACATCCCCTCCAGGAAAGCTTCCTCTGCCCTCATGATGGAAAACCATCACCCTCCGGGCACCGCCAGGGAAATGACCTGTCCGTGCCCCTGCGTGTGGCTGCTGGGTGCTGGCCACATGCCTGCCCTGCTCATAAGCCCTTCCCCGGTGTTGAGGCTTAATCTTCATGACAACCCAGGAGGCAGGGGTGACATCATTTCACAGAGGGGGACAGCTGGGAACAGGGGGGTTAAGGAACCTGCCCAGGGTCACAGCAGAAAAGCAAATAACTTGGGACCCACCCCCAGAGCCCAAGTGCTTGACCACCCCCACCCCAGGGTGCTGCGGTGTGCATCTAGCCCCAGGGCCGTGCACTGGCCAGGCACCTAACGTCATGCTTTACTCCTGTAACGACCCCACGAGGTAAGAGTTGTCCCATTTTACAGCCAAGAAGACTGAGGTCAGAGGGGTCAGGGGTGTCCTCAGTTAGCAGAAGGCAAGAGCTGGCCTGTTAGACCGCGCTTCCCCGCGCACCGGAACTTGAACCTGAGCTGCTGTCTCGGGTCATCCGTGGTCTGTCGCCTGCGCTCTCTGGCCCGGCCTGATCCCAACTAGAGCCTCCCCAAAAAAGAAGCCCTTCTTTGCCCCAGATTCTTTTGTGGCTACTTGGTGCTCGCTGGGCTCTGCTCCTTCCAGGTAACAGCAGGGAGCAGAAAAAGATCTGCCCGGGGAGGGGACACCGTCCAGGCAGTGGATCTTCCCGCTTCCTCTCCTGTCTGCCAAGAAGGGGCTGTTGTGGCAGGACAGCTGAGCCCTGTGGCTGGGACGGGTCATGTACAGTGGAAGATGCTTTTGGGAAATCAAAGCAAAGCAAACTGATTGAATCACTCAACGCTTATGGAGAAGCAGAACTGTGTCCTTTAGACCGACAGCGTCTAACAGTGCGGCTGGGGGGCGGCGGGGGGCTGGGGGGCGGGACTTGGAGACCCCAAGGCAAGAGACCCTTGCTCGCTGTTAGTGCTCAGAGACCCCGCGTGTTCCCTCCGTCAGCGGCCTTGGCAGAGATCACGGAAATGGTGGCCCAGCTTCACGGTACGATGATCAAGATGGAGAATTTCCAGAAGCTGCATGAACTCAAGAAGGATTTGATTGGCATCGACAATCTTGTGGTCCCGGGGCGGGTGAGTAGCCTGCTCTCTCGCGTGCGTTTACAGGAAGCCACACAGGTGACACTTCAGTACCTTTGGAGTCACCATCCCCCCCCAGGGGCGCCTTCCATCCAGAGGGCAGCCCGGCGAGGGCCCCAGCCTAGCCTCGCCCCGCCATGTTAGGAGACCCGCGGAGCGCCCCCCGCTGCCGCCTTTTCCTCTTCATTGGCTGATCTGCTTATTCTTTTCTTCTGAGGATCGAGGTAGCTTCTTTTAAGTTGAGGTGAATGGAGACAGAAGATTAAATTTTTTTTTTTTAAGATTTGGGTAAAATGGTGATTTCAACAGTGCGTGCAAAATGTGTTTTTCAAAGATGCAGTTTTCTTTTTTAAAGATTTATTTATTTATTTATTTATACAAGCACTGGGTACAGTCAGAAGCGCGGGAGGGTGAGAGAATTCACCAGAGCCAGAGCGGGGAGCAGAGCAGGCAGAAGGACCGAAGCACACTGCTGAGGGGAGCAGCGGGTGGCAGGAGAGGTCTGCGCGCCATGTGGGACCCTCCTCTGGTGGCCGGGGAGCAGCCGGGGATCGAACCGGCGCTGCAGAGGCTGCGGGCAGCTTCGCAACCCAGCGCTCAACCGCTGCGCCACCGGGGAGGCCCAAAGATGCAGTTTTCTGGTCTTGGTTTTTTTAGGAACTAAAATAACATGTAGCCAGAAAAGGATTCCTGGAGAGATGCTGGTTTACTTGAGCGCTGACCCTCCCAGCACCGTCAGCGGGCAGCGCTCATTCTTGGGGACCTGCATACCCCGCTGCCAGCCGCTGGGGGCACGCAGCCCAGCAGAGGCACCAGGGACCTCTCCCGGTGCTTGCGAAGCCGCTGCCCTTGCCAGGGACTCAGATGAGTTGCCGCATCTCGCTCGCTCTCCGGGATCCGTCTCCTCCGGCACCCCCATTTCACACGGCAGCTGACCTTTGAACAACACAGGGCAGAACGAAGTGAGCTCCCTTCTGTGTGAATTGTTTTCAGTAACTTAGGTTGGAAAACCTTTTTGAAGATTTGCCACAATTTAGACATAACTTGATGAACCTCATAGCCTAGAAATACCAAAAAAAAAAAAAGCCATGAGCACCCGAAATCCATGCAGGCGACAGTCACCACTTCCAGGCCAGGCGAGGCCGAGCCGCGAAGTGGAGAGAGATGCAAGCAGACGTCATGGCAAGGAGGCTCCTGGTAGCTAAGTCTTAGGGGAAGCCAGAGTTACCTGGGCACTCCCGGCTTCCAGGAGCTGCAGCCCTCCCCACTGCACTGCCGAGCGTCAGCTGTATACACCGCCCAGGTTTAGCATGCGCTCGACCTCCTGATCCCTGATCCCCGCCACCTCCTTCAGACGAGTATCTCGTCGTGGGGGCCACTCGGTCTTACCTGCGGCAGCTGCCCCAGAACCCCGATCTGTGTAACTCGGGAAGATGGGGACCTACCCTGTGTGTTGGGGTTGTCAGGAGTTACGTGGTAGGCGCTGGGTGTGCATGGAAGCTGGGGCTTGCTTGGGCCTTGCTGGTAGAAATGCCGTAGGCACGAGCCCATGGCCGCCGCCTTTCCTCCAGGCCCAGCCCTGCGGAGGCTTGAGTGTCATCTCCGCTTCCCTTTGGGTGTGAGGAAATACTTAGCTATTATGCTGCGGGGCTCACAGCACCTGTAAGGAGCTCCTTGCTTCGAGGAAGGTTTCCACGGTCCTGTGGAAAGCATATCGGACCTAAGGAAGGTGGGCCTGGGCTCATTCCCACCTACTAGAATATTCTTTCCCTTCTGCAACATGGGGACCTGATCCCTTCCCTGCCGGGTGTAAGGATCAATCGAAATGTTCTGTATCCAGCGGACACAGCAAGTGTGGCTGCCCTTCCCCCGCCCCTCATGTGCAGCTTCGACTAACGGTTCTCAGCAGGTTATGGGTCACAGCATATTCTAGAAGGCCTCGTACGCATGTAGCCAAACACGGGCCCTGCCACCCACCATCTACCTGGGCAAGTTTCTTAAGTCATCTTGCTCCTCAGTTTCCTTTTCTGTAACATGGGGACCATGTCCATTCAGCTCACGCACGCAGGATCAGCACCCAGGATGTGCCCAGTTCACCCACGTGCTAAATCAAGTGGGGGGCATTATTTATTAAGGGCTATCAGACTTGGGGTGCTGGTTCCTCGCAGCAGATTTGACGCATTTCCAAAATCTGACTCATCAACCTGCTTCACCTCCATTGTGTTTTTGTTTTTTGGTCAAGTCAACCTGGAATAAAATGGGGAGGAGGGGTCTGAGACCCCCGGGGAGTGAGTGCTGGGGAAGGGACACTTCACACCCCTCGGCCAAGGGATTCCCACGCATTCATCTTCTTTCTTTTCACGGAGACTGGCATGTGGCTGACAGCATGATGCAGGCTTCATTGATTACAGCTTTCATGGAAGGATTTTAAATTACCAGGCACTCTGGTGGGCAGAGGAAGGCTCTGGTGGGCAGAGGAAGGCCCTGGCGGGCAGACGAAGGCTCTGGTGGGCAGAGGCCGGCTCTGACAGGGAATTACAATGCTGAGAGCAGAGCTGAGCCGACCAGGGCCCCTGTGCGCCGCCGCCCCTGAGACCTGCCGCCAAAGCCCTCGCTGCCTTCCTGGCAGAACCCCGCTAACTCCTGCCAGGGCTAGTGTGCCCTGGTGGCACTCGCCGCTGGCACAGTGCTAGGCCCGACTGCTTGGTCTGTGGCCTCTGAGTGTTTCCTGTGACTGGAGCCGGTGGGAGCAGCTGCCTTGAAGGGCGAAGAGGCGCCTGGAGGCAGAGCACAAACGAGCAGTGACTGCGCGCATGATCCCGCCGTCTCGGCGAGGCAGCACGCAGGTGTGAGCAGGTGTGAGCGCGGCACTGCCCGGCACCGGCCACCTCTGGGTCTCTTGTCCCCGCAGGAGTTCATCCGCCTGGGAAGCCTCAGCAAGCTCTCGGGGAAGGGGCTGCAGCAGCGCATGTTTTTCCTGGTGAGTGGCCGGAGCTTGTACTCATCGTGACCGCGATCTGCGGGCCTGGCCACTGGGCCGGGGCCTGGCGGGGGGCGGGCAGGAGCCGGCTGACGGGTTGAGATACTGTTGCAAACACTTTCTGCGCTTGGTGGTTGCAAACGAGCCGCTGGTCTCAGCGCCTGTCCTTGCTCCCGCAGTTCAACGACGTGCTGCTGTACACGAGCAGGGGGCTGACGGCCTCCAATCAGTTCAAAGTCCACGGGCAGCTCCCCCTCTATGGCATGACGGTAAGTACTTGGCAGGCACTTGGCAGGCACGTTGGGGGCCCTTCCCCTCGGGGTGCCTGCAGGGACTAGGGCCAGTGACAAGAACAGTGGGGATAAATATGGCAGTGGGGGACTTGCAGGTGCTCCGGGAAACCTGGGGGTGCTGGGGCTCCCCTGGGCCCCCTCCCAGACCTGGTTTCCCCTCCAGCACGAGGGAGGAGCATGTAGGCATGTTCCTTCTAGAAGCAGGTGAAGAGGAAGCCGACAGGGCCTGTGCTGTGAATTTGCATCACAATGCGGGGCCAGGAAGATATTCCTCACCTTGCACAAGGGACTGGGGGTGGGGGGGTTCCTCCAAGTGTGCTGGTGCACAGGGCTCTTCTGCAGCCTCTGGTTGGCTGCTGCAGACAAGGGGCCACGGGCACAGGGCTGCTGGCCTAGCGCACCCCACACTCCACAGGAGAAGCAGAGGGGAGCTCGGGGACTGTCAGAACCGTTCAACGTGCTGAACTTCTGTTCGTCCCCCCAAACTTCTGACTTGCTGCTGTCCTCAGCAGGGGCTCCTGCCCCCCCCCCCTCCCAGTAACCACTTCTCCGCAGCCTGGGCCTGTAGGCGGCCTAGTGGACACGTGTAAACGCACTGGGCGTCCCGTTCACACTATGAACACTTGCCCCACAGATCGAGAAGACGGAAGACGAGTGGGGTGTCCCCCACTGCCTCACCCTCCGCGGCCAGCGGCAGTCCATCATCGTGGCCGCCAGGTACCTCTCACCCCCCCCCCCGCCCCTGACCCTTTGACCTGCCGCCCCAAGACCTGACTGACACCCGTATCCTCCTCAGTTCTCGGTCCGAGATGGAGAAGTGGGTGGAGGACATCGAGATGGCCATCGACCTGGCGGAGAAGAGCAGCGGCCCCACCCCCGAATTCCTCGCTGGCAGCCCCCCTGACAACAGTGAGTGGGGGGCCAGTCCCCAGGGGGCTCCATGGGCCCACGCGCCGCGCACTGCAGGCCTGTTACCCGGGGCCTACGCTGTGTTTAAAGCCGAACATCAAGGAACTTCCTTTTCCTAACAAATAAAAAGCACCGAGACAGCGTGCGGGCGCGGGGAAGTCCTGCTTGGGGGCCAGCGCCGGCACCTGTCGTACAGGACGGCAGCGTCTGGGAGACAGCGAGGGCGCCCACTCACAGACGAGCACTGGGCCTGGGGGCGCTAGGGGGTCCCGGCAGAAGAGCTGGGGTGGGGGCACCCCTGGGTGGGCCCTGACCAAGCAGAGGGCAGTGCGATTTCCTGCTCCCTGGGTACCCGGTGTCCCCCAGGGCCAATCTGAGCCCCCCAACCTTCCAGCTCCAGGGAGGGGCCGGCACAGGGCCCTTTCCTGGTGAGCAGAGACCCCATGTGTCGCCCTTGCGCCTCCAGAGTCCCCCGAGGAGGCGGGGGTGGCTGACCAGGAGTCGGAGGACGACCTGAGCGCCTCGCGCACGTCGCTGGAGCGCCAGGCCCCGCACCGCGGCAACACCATGGTGCACGTGTGCTGGCACCGCAACACCAGCGTCTCCATGGTGGACTTCAGCGTGGCCGTGGAGGTAGGCGGGCGGGGCGCTCCGTCCCCGGGGGGAGCCCCTGGTGTATTTGGCGTGTGCTGGGGGGAGTAGGCCCCCAAGTGTGGGGAGGGAGCCCTGCGCTCACCTGGCCTCGTGTGACATGTGGACTCTCACGATGTTGCAGAGGTGCCCCCCCCCCCGTTTCACTGTCAGGACACCCCTTTTCCCGGCCCCTTCTGTGAGAGTGGGAGAGGCAGGCGGGGCGCAGCCGAGTCCCCTTGGCTCAGCAGCCCCTCCCCCCAGCCACGGCCCGTGTCTGCTCCCGGCCGCTTTCCAGCCTAGGCCGCGTCGTCCCGGCGGACTGAGCAGCGCAGGGGCAGACATGGACCGTCTTCCTGGCCTAGCGGTCGGCTTAGGTGGGGGCACCGACGACTGACCCAACAAGCGCTTTTAGTTCCTGGGACAGAATAAAGTAGACTCAGGAAGGATTTCAAGTATTTTTTTTTTTACTGTGGTGAAGTGGCCCATTTAGCAAACAATTTCGTTACCGTGAACAATTCAGTGGCCGTAGTCACGTGGAGGCTGACCCTCACCACCGCCTCCTCCCTGCCGGGCCCGTGTTGTCTTCCTGGCTGGAGAGCCCCTTCTCCCCTTCTGGCTGCCTGGGAGCGCGGGCGCCAGCAGCTCTCGGGAGGGCCTGTCAGAGCCGAGCGCGCGGCTTTCTGTCCCGGGGAGGAGCAGCCCGCAGCGTCCCGCCAGGGCCACTAGATGGCGGCCAGGAGCTGCAGGCGGGGCTGGGGTACCCAGAGCGGCTCCTCCCCTCCCTGCTGGGAGCAGACGTCTCCCTGCTGACACCACCACCTGCAGAACCCTCTGGGGAGGCTCCTTGCCGCGGTGATGCCACCGCCCTGGGCGTGCACACGGGCCTTGCACACGCAGCGCTCTGCCCTCTCCGTGTCCACAGTGGCCTTCCCCCCGGCCCTCTGTCCCAAGGGCCCACCCTTCTCCAGCAGGATGTCCTCTCAACAGGACCTCTGCGGGGGCCGCTCAGCCCGACCAGACGACAGGAACTCCAGGGTTTCTCCTTATGCGTTTTCCTGTCCGTCACAGGCAACCTCTTCCCAGAAGCACCTGTGGGCCCAGCGCAGGTGGGGAGCCACCCAGGCACCACAGTGAGGGACGCAGGGGTACCCCGTGCCTGTGTCATGTTCCTCACGGGCCTATTTGTCTTTCAGAATCAGCTGTCGGGAAACCTGCTGAGGAAATTCAAAAACAGCAACGGGTGGCAGAAGCTGTGGGTGGTGTTCACCAACTTCTGCCTGTTCTTCTACAAGTCGCACCAGGTGAGGGCCGGGTGGGCAGGGTGACCCCCTCCTGGTACCCCTCCCTTGAATCACCTGTCCGGAGGGTCCTGCTACGGGCCTTGGGGAGCCCCTCAGTTGGAAAGGGGGGGGCTTGCAGCCGCAGGGGGGACCGGGCGACCGTAGCGATGGCCGGGGCTCACCAGGGTCTGTGGCCCTCCCTGGCAGGACAATCACCCCCTCGCCAGCCTGCCTCTGCTCGGGTACTCGCTCACCATTCCCTCGGAGTCGGAGGAGATCCACAAAGATTACGTGTTCAAGCTGCATTTCAAGTCCCACGTGTACTACTTCAGGGCCGAGAGCGAATACACCTTCGAGAGGTGAGTGTCCGTCTCGCCTCAGCGGGTGGCAAAGGCCCCTGGCAGTGCTCCCCGCCGAGGGCCTGGATGCTGCCCCTGCTAGCCCCGCCAGATGCGGGGAAGAAAATGTGCGCCGAGACCTGGGGTGACGTCCATGTTTTAGGTGTACTGAGGTGGGGGAGCCCCCCAGCGCCTAACCTGTGTGCTCTGCCGCCCGTGGCAGCTGCGGAGCCACTGTGCTCGTGACCGTGCGCATGCGGGAAGCCCCATCGGGCGCCCTTGGTCGAGGGGCTGCTGCAGGAAGGGGCAGGCCCAGGGGCAGCTGTGTCCACGCAGCCATGCGGTGAAGTGGACAGAGCCGGGCTATCACCGAGTAATTCTTCCAGTCTGAAATTTCAAGTAGAAACTCAGGGCCCCTGGGAAGTGCTCTCCTGTGGCAGGTGTCACTGACCACCACGGGGTGGTGGGGGGCTGCCACCCCCAGGGAGGTGCTCTCTCCTGGCCACGCTGCAGGACAGGCCTCACTGCTACTGACCCCACCACCAGGGTTTCTCACGGATGGGCCGCTTCTGAGCCGGGCGCAATTCCGAGTGGAGTCTGTTCCATGGACAGGGTTGGTAAAAACCAGTAGCACCTCCCACGGCACCCCAAGTACTTCGAAGACTCACTGTTCGACCAGTGAGCCCAGGAGCCATTCTCTGGTCTGCTCAGGACTGAACTTGAGGGTTCATCTAAGTGGGGTTCTTGTTACCTAGAAAGAACTGTGATTAGGGACTCTGTAACTAAAGCAGGGAGCTGGGGACACCCCAGCCTTTCTCGGCTCCATACAATGAGACCAGAAAGTTGGAGGGGGGAGTTCTGCCTGTGCACTGACTGTAGGGTGTGCAGCAGCACCCTGGGCCTCCACCCAGTACATGCACCCTCTACTGTGGCGATGCTAGATAGCCCCAGGGTCCCCCCAGGTACTCAAAGGCATAAAACGGAGGTCCTGCGAAGATGTCGGGCCACCCCCTTGTCTGTGAGACAGATCGGGGAGCAGTTTCCTCAGTAGAGAGCACCACTGTGGTCCTCAGGCGGTTCCTCAAGCACCCCAGAAGAACCCTCAGCCCTGCTGCATGGGACCCGGCGTGGGTGCTAAAAACTCTGTCACAAACCAGAAGAGTCGGGCGGGGGCCGTCACCGCGCTCTCTCGTTTCAGGTGGATGGAGGTGATCCGAAGTGCCACCAGCTCGGCCACCCGGGCCCACATGCTGAGTCACAAAGAGTCGCACGGGTACTGATGGCGGGACGCACGGCACGGGCGCGGCGGCTTTCCCGGGAGACGTGGCCTGCCTTCTGTGTGACCACGGCCTAGCCTAGTAAAATGACCGCCTGTCCGGGCTCCACAGCCACGCGCGCCCGTCTCCGCAGAACGTGTTCTCACCTTGTCTGTCCCGCTGTTCCCGCCGCCTCTGAAGGAACCGTGCTCCCCCCGCCGTGCTGGCGGCGTCCGGCCGTCGCCCCGCGGCCGGCTGTTTTTAGCTTGTGCCAGTGTTAAAACGTGGTCCTCGATCTAGTGCCAAATGACAGCGGCTCCTCCCCGGCTGCCCCCGGAGCCTGCAGACACGTCCGTTCACCCGAGACACAGGGCAAGTGCTCCCTTTTTCTTAAAGAGACTCCTATTTTCATTTATAGGCTGCTGCGTTTTAAAAACTGGACTTTGCAGTGTTGGCAATGCACCTGGCACAGTCTTAACGCAACTGAGATCATTTTCAGATTTCGTTTTTTTCAATCTTTCTACTTTTATAATACTAGGTTAGTGGGACTGACTTCCTTGACGAATAAGCAATCTGCAGCCCCGACACTCCACTTTGGGGTTTGGTGTTCCCACCCAACGCTGGTGACAGCCCTACTTCTTGGTGCAAGTTGACCAAATGTGTTGCCGTGATTCCTATTTGCAAACTGTAGCGGGCGGTTTTCTGTGCAGAGAAGCGAAGTCCAGGGCCACGGGGGGCCGCCGCCGTGCCGTGCGTGGTGTAGACAGTGGGACGATATTGAGCTGTGGTGTGTTGCTGTCTGTTTCACAAGCATGAAATCCTGTATGTCAGTAATCAGGGCCATTTGTGGTGTTTCGTTCCAGGGAGTAGTTGTGAGCCGACCGAGGCGTGCGGGCGCCCGCGGCCGCGGCTCGACACGGCTCGTTCAATAGTAGTGTATATCGTGCCTGTTCAGAGCTACCTTCCTCTCTCCTGTAAACTCATTCCTCCGTGCATGGGGTTGCACATCGTGGCCGCCGGCTCCGCAGGGGACACGGTTTCTAGGACCTGCAGGGCCCAGGACTCCAAGGCCACCTGCCCCCGGTGACCGGGCGGCTGCCGCGCCCTTCCTGCCCGAGGCCCCTCCGAGGGGCGGCCGGCCCCGCGGTCCTCTTGCAGTGCCCGGGGCCTCGGGTGGGAAGGCCTGGCCCCGACGGCTGTGGAGCTGTGGCTGGTGACCATGGAAACAGTGTACAAATGGACCAGTAGCTTGAGATGTGTTAATCATTTGCCTTACAACATGTACCAGATGGTTTTAAGTACTAACAAAAGGGAATAAAAATACCTCACGCCACAATCCAGCATATTGAAGTTTAAAGGCAAAACAAGCCACCTTGTCTCCTGTCTTTCTTTCCCTCTAATGGGGCGGGGGGGGGGGTCGTTCACCAGGGGTGGGGGCAGCGGTGAGACCAGATGAGAGCGGCATCGCCTGCTCGCGGAGACCAGGCCAGCACCACCCTCGGGGAAGCTTGCTCCTGGCCGCCTCGGTACTGGGGAGGCTGGACGCTTAAGACATTTAAGCCCCAGGGCCGCGAGTGAAGCAGAGACGGCAGGGCTTCTCCCACATCAGGGGTGCAGGACGCACTGGACCCCAGGGGCGGGAAAACTCCCAGAATCACCTGTCCCTAAATCCTGTGGCCCGCACCGGGCAGCTCCGTGTCTCTGAAGGCCGCCAAGCCATGCCTACCTGTGGCCAGCACCCATTTCCGTAACGTCAAAACACCCAAGTCCCAGTCACGTGGGCAGCGGGGAGCAGTCCCGAGCCGCCAGGAACAAATGGGGCTTCGGCGACACCCCTGCCCCAGGCCCTGCAGGTCACAACAGACCCCCACAGACTGAGCACTTGCAAATGACAGACAAACTTACCTCACAGTTTTGGAGGCTGGAGTCCAGGCCCCAGGTAGACCCTCTCCCTGCATCTCTGTCCTAACGTGGAAGGGGGGTGGCCCTCGCCTTCATAAGGTCTCAGCTCCGCTCCCGGGGCCCCCCCATGATCAATCACACTGGGGGGGTCAAGACCGCAACCTAAATTTGGGGGTCATCAGAAACTGAGAAACCCCCCACTTCTGGTACCTTCTACACATGAAATGACATTACCAAAAAAAAAAATCACTTTTCTGTGAATTTTATTGACCCTGCACGTTACAGTACCTGTGCCTCAGAACACGCCGTGCGGCACTGCCCGCTTATTGCCATAGTTTATAGCCAAAATACAGAAGCCGTATTTTTAAGGGAAGGGGATATATAAAAAGCTTATAAAACAGACCATGTATTTTTGCCAAAACAAAAGGTACAAAATACTACAACAAAGAACTGAGCTAGACACATCACGAAACCAGCTTGAGAACAAAACCATCAGCCCTGGGCAGTTACGTGGCCCTTGAGACCACGCGGCCAGGGGGCAAAGCCCACGGGGGCCGCCTCCCTTAGTGCCACTGGTGGGGATTTCAGAAAGACACAAACCACCAGGCAGCCAGCCCGCCCCCTGGAGAACCGTCTTCCCCCAGACTCACCAACTGCCTGCAGCCCCCAGGGAGACAAGCCCGGACCCTCAGGCTGGGACCCAGGGACCAGGCGCAGGTAAGCCCACTCCATCTCAACGGCTGGGCCTGCTGGCCGCCAACAGGGGTCGCCACTGAGGCAGGGTCTGAAGCCCAGGCACACGCCTCCTTCACCAAGGACTGTTCCTGGATGGACTGAGCTCCTCAGCTAAGCACAGAGCTGCTCGTAACACAGCAACAGCTGAACGTGTCTCCACAGAAAGGACAAACTGGAAGTGATGGCAGGACGCAGCGATCCACTTTTAAAATCCAACCCCACCACCTCCACCCCAGGAAGCTAATGCCACAGAAGACATTTCCGATACGCCCTGGAAGGGTCTGCACTGACCTCTGCCAACCTCTGAGAGGGCCTCGGCTTGGGGGCCCTGTGGCAGCAGTGTCTGCTGGCGGTTCACACTGGCCTGTCACCAGGGCCCTCCAGCTACCGGCACGACCTCTGCTCGTGGTTTCTGCATCTAGTCCTCACGCTGCTACCCACTGGCAAACTGAAGGAAGCTGCTCTTAGAGTCAGCAGCAGCTCAAGCGGGCGACGCTGCTTCACTGCTCTAGCGGTTCCCCTCCTGCGCTGGGCGCAGCAGCCATCTCCGGCCTCCTCACCTGACGCAGAACACGCAGTAACAGGGTGAGCACCTTGGATTTCACTGGCTTCACATTCTTGCTGCAGAACAACACGTGCGCTAGGAATGAGCCGTCCCATGCGAGCTAGCCGCCTAATCAAAAATGGATCCCTTAGAGAAATCAGTAATTCAACCCAAATCTACTTCTGTTTAAAAATAAAGGGGAAAAAAAAAACATTTTAGAGTAGAAAATTAGCCTCCATGAACAAGTCTCAATAACACCTGGCATGCACAGGCCTCTGCCCCTCCCCCTGCACCTTCCAGGCCCCAGGCGGGCTGACCCAAGTCACCCAGTAATGTGCTCGCGTTCCAAAGTCCTTTGTCTCCCCCCTCAGAGACTGTACTCCACAACACATGCACAAATGAGCCTCCACGAATACGAGAGACCGCCACCTGCCCTCAGATCAGCCTGGGTTTGCTGCAGGAACTCCAGCCCCACGGCCACGCCGCTGCACAGACCCTGGGGACACACCGGTGGTGGATTTGAGCCTCGCTGCAAGAAGACCCGTGCTGGCCGGCCCAGAAACCCAGAGACCACGGCCCCCTTGGCCAGCAAGGCCCCAGCAGAGGCCCAGAAACACACACCTGGTGGACAGGCCACCCGATGGGCCGCTCTGAGAACAAAACCAAGCTCGGTCGAGGTCCTGGACAGGGGGGCGGCTGCACCGGGCAGCGCCGTACAACACCTGCTACGTGAGCGCTGCTCCGTGAGCATGGACACTTGTCCCGGGGCCTTCCCAGGCGTCCAGCACACGTGAGCGTGCACACGCAGCCAGGCGCTGCCCTCGACACGCTTCAAGGAGAGTATGCGAAATGAGTGTGTTATAAAATTTATTCGTGTAAGCATTTCAGACAGTTTTTAGGTGGGCAAGATGATATGCAGATTTCACTAAGAGGCGCAACAGAAGATGGTACGGACAGAAGGGGGTGGGGCGCAGGGGTGGCACGGCTCCAAACAAACGCTGGACGACAGCTCGTCATTGAGGGGGAACTTGAAACAATAATTTAAAGCTTCATGAGGCAAGATATGTTCCAATTGAAAACACAAAGAAACAGTACCATCGAGGGAGCGGAAACCAACTTCTAAGTGTACCGAAAGGGCTGCAGGGCAAACGAGAGGGGAGCTGTGCATCTGCTGAGGTACAAATAGGAGTGTTCCAGGAGAGGGACATGAATTATTATGAATGGCAAACCCTGCAAATACAAAATAAACCCAAATCACTGGTCACATAATTCAAAATTTACAGGTAATAAAGGCAAGGCGATAGACTCAAGTTATGGCCTGTCAAATATTTACTCCACCGACAGTATCTACAGAAGCACTTGGCCAGTTTGTACACAGTGATTCCTTACGCACGCCAAAAGGTTCTGTAAAAATGACGCTATATACAAATCTGTACACAGATCCACCGGGGTGACGCTCCACCTCCCCGGGGGGAGGGGTCAACTTAAAGCAGGTACCTGAGGTTTCGATTCTTCAGTTGCCGTATCATGATCCCAAATATACATTTCAGGGTTTGCTTTTGTTTTTAAAAGACACTTTCCTTGATATGTGCACTATGGTTAAAATTAAAAACAGGAATAATAAAATAAAATGATCGCTTCAAGGGGCCAACCCTCCCAGGCCATCCGGCCTGGAGACATCATCTGGCCTCGGCCCGGCCGGCGAGGAAGACCCTGAGGGTCCCGGCTGGGGGCTGCCCCCCAGCGGCACGCCTGCCTCTTCAGCGGAGTCGGCAAAGGCTCTCGTTGACTTTTAAAAAGGAGGAAGATGAAAAGAAAAAAGGAAAAACAAAACCCCAAATGCCAAAGGAATTTCAGTGGGTTGAAGTTCCTCCACCACTTAGAGAATATCTAGGAAAAAACAAAAAGAGAAAGAAGAAGAATGTAAATGTCAGTTCTCTAAACCCAGTGCAGAAATCCCACACAACAGCCCAAATCCCTTTTCACAGACATGAAAAAGCCATAAAAAGTGGAGCAAATTTCACATGGGTTCCTGGAAGAATTCATGAAATTTAAGAAAAATTCTAATTCCAACACAACTTTTCATGCAGTCAGAAGTAAACAATCTTCAACACCCAGTGACAGATTCTAGGGACAGACACACGGCTGGGTCCAGAGTGCGTGCAGAAAACCCCTGCTGACCACAGAAACACCGACGCGTGTTCAACTGATCTGCTTCTGAAAACTGTCTCAGATGCGTGGTCCAAGGTTCACTCACTCGAGTCATAGGTGCTGGGATTCACTTTTCAAGAAACACAGACGCCCGATCCCGGGGCGAGCTGGCGCCTCGTGTGAGGACCCGCCCCCCTCGCAGCTCGGACACAGACAGCGGCGAGACTGCCTCGGACCCGGCCGCGCCCAGCTGAGACCATCCACCGAAGCAACATGCTGGGAGAAAAACAGGCCCAGGTATAGGTCACATTGCCCGCGGTGGAAGCTTCCGATGGGGACACACAGGAAATGCTCTGGGGCCCCCAGGGCTACATGGACGCCCTGCGGAGACCAGGTCAGGACCCAGGATGCTGATGGCCAGGATGGCCAGGGAGGAGGGGAGGGTCACCTGCACGCCGAGGTGAGGGAACACCCCCTGACACAGTGAGTTCACACTGACAAGGCTGCGAGTGTCACGGACACCATGGCAAGGACCCGACGCGGAAACAATGCAAAGGCCTAGCTGACAACTGTCTGTGTTGCTTACATGTCTCCAAAATGGAGACATTTTGGATAAAGAGGATTAAAATATACAGAATTTCATCGGCTCTGTTGTTTCCTTTATTTGATGTGATTACTTTCAGAAGGTCATGGAGGGGCTCACGCTGTCCTTCTACCAGGCCCCAGAGTTGCGGGGAGACCAGTCAGGCACACCAATCACCGGGAATAATTTCAGAAAATTAGGGACAGAATGGGGGAAAGTGACACTCCAAAGCAGGAAAGAAAACCAAACAAGACACCAGTACTGCCGGCTCTGGTTCAGCGCTATCTGCTTGGTTCAAAGGTTCTTTCCAATGAGAAACAAATGCCACTGGAGGAAGGTAGAACGGCGCTAAATTATTTTTGTTTTTTTTTGTTTGTTGAGAAATCAGAAAAGTGGACCGTTAAGTAACCGAGGAAAGGCTGGTGTGACAACACTAGAGTCCAACAAGCAGTGAGCTGTGCTGGGAACGTGGCCGCAGACGCCCTGGACAGATGGCCACATCTGTCTGGGGGCACAGGGCGACGTTTCTACCCTGTTAACTTTATTCCCGTGATTCCTTAGCACCTAAGGGAGGAGAAGTAGAAGGTAACAACAGACTCCTCCTGTTGCCTCAAAGCAGAAGGCAGCCAAGTGAACAGTTTGTCTCCAGCCTGAAGTGGAGAGCTGGGGTGTTTTTTACGAAGGAGCCCGAATTCAGGAGAACGGCCCTCGTGTGTTGGAATGGGTCTTCTCAACCCCTTCTTTCGAGGCACTCATCACAGGGCAGCAAAGCGGCCAAAGTGAACCCACATGCCCCAAACTGCTTCACAGGCCCAAGAGTGCAGACCCGGGAAGACTCCAGCACACACCCCGTCAGGCCTCAGCCTCCTGGGAGGGGCTGCTGCCTGCACAATGGAAGGAGAATGCCACACCACCCAGCTGGTGCTTCAATGAGTGACGAAGGTTGGCAGTGTGGAGCAGCACTGGGGGTACAGGGCAGAAAGATGGCTCCCCCCCCAATGACTACACTTATGCTGGAGGGCAATTCAAGTAAACCCTCCACAAGGAAACGCCAAACACAAGCTGGGAACCCGGGGGGGGGGGGGCGGTGCACAGGCACGGGGACGACAATCATCACCTCCACCTGCTCCGCCCCAAGGCCACTGCAGGGACCCTGAGCCCCAGCAAGGCCGAGGCAGAGTCAAGACAGCTCAGCCACTCGAGATGCCCGTGTCCCCTCCCAGTGAGCTCCCAGCTAAAACATCTGGTGTTTCTGGACACTTGACTTGAAAGCGTAAAACCAAAGGGAAAGTCCGAAACATCTGGAGGGTAATTAATGAGGCTGCATCACGAAGAACAGGCTGGGATCGAGGGGCATTCAGCAGACACACAAGAGCCACAACTGTATGCAGCGCTGGGTCCTCACCGACCAGTGGATCCAGGCCCCAGCCCTGTTCCTGCTGAGTCTGACCTGATTCTGCTTCACTCCCAAGGCCTGGAGGGTGGCAGAACTGGGCGGAAGCACCAAATCGACAAAGGAAGCAGAATGAGCAAGGCCAGATGCCCGTGGGGAGCCATCGCCCTGGAGTGGGAGCCATTACCTCTGGAGCCGCTGCACCAGCTGGGCCACCATGGTGTCCGAGATGCCGGGGCAGGCCTCCTCTGCCAGGTAGATGGCCCCTCGCAGCTCCTCTATGGACCCCATGTTGCCCCCGCAGGCCTGGCTCTTCTCTTTCAACTGAAAACACACAAGAGTGTGATGTGCGTGAACAAGGGGTACCCCAGGGGACCCTCACTGACTCCTGCTGCCGGACGGCCTCTGGGTGCTGAGAACACCGTGTGCCTTCCCTGCGGGAGAGCAGAGGCCGCTTTCCTGAGCCCACTGTGGCGGTCAGTCCATTTCAACCTCCCCCTTTCACCAGAAAAGCAATTTCACATGACTTGTGTGGACCAGCGAAAGCTTAGCTCCTCATGGGAGCCACAGCCTGGCTCTTCAGACTCTGGCAAACCGCCATTGTGGTCCGGGGTGCTCTGTAAATGTTCTGTGTCGTCAAGAGTCCGACATCTTTCAAATGAAATCTCGCATCACCTGAGGCCAAGGGATCCACCTGCCCCAAGCAGGAGGCAGTTCGGGAGAAGGGGAAGAGCCCATCACGCCTGCACCTGGGCTTCCCTGAAGGCCTGTCTGTGATGGGGCAGCACCCCTGGTGGTACCCCGCCTGCCGGTTCGCAGACCCCCAAACTGCTAGTCCCACCGTCACAGCTGTGCCTAGCTCTACCCCCACTCCCGTTTCACCTCCCCACAAAAGTGAAATGGGGGTCTTACCTCTGCAAACAGAGGAGAAATAATTGTCGATAAACACTGAGAGAAAGGCCTCTTTGGGATGTCTTTCATCTGGGGGGGAGAAAAAAACCAATCAGAAGCACTCAGCAATCATGTTTCCCACAATCCCACTGGGTCAGCCCACGGGACCCCAACACATATCTCAGTGCTGTCTGCATTGCCCACCCATAGGCGACCGCAGCAAGCCACTCGCAGCCACGTGCAAAACCGCCAGCTGGGCTTCCGCGATGGCAGCACGCAGGCCGGGAGGGTGTTCCGTGCGAGTGGACAGCGCCTCCTGGCTCCCCTAGGCCCTCTGTGTAGGGGCCTCTCGGGGGCAGCCCTGAGCGGCGCCGACTCCAGGGGGCCACTGCCGTGATGGTGCCCTCAGTCCTATTTTTACAGCTGGCTCTGATCACTGAGCCTCTCCCCTCTGCTTACCCAAGCGGGACTGGCCTCTACACTCCCCATGCTGACTTCAGCCTTTCCCGCCCACCAAGGAGCCTCTCCTGTCCCTCTGCCTCGCAGAGAGGCCGTCGGTCCCCCGGGGGACAGCCACCGGCCCACACTGCCCAAGAACTGCCAGTGTTCTGCTTTAAAAAGATCCTAAAAGGCAGCTTTTCATTAACTTCCACAGGTATGAACCCAATTAACCAAAATAAAGTTTTTTTAAGTACCCAAAGTAATGTATTTAAGATCGTTAAAAGAATCCCCAAACTATGGGAATTTATCTGAACAACCCCAATGCGGAGAAAACAGCTAAAAAGTCATGTCCCACGTGGATTTCACCCCACCCGACACCGCCGCATGTCCAGGTACGAGGACGCACAGGCTCTCTGGCAGCAGCAGGCCTCAGAAGTGAGCTGCGGGGCAGAGAGATCCGAGGCCAGAATCCCTGGGAGCCACAGAACCTGAGACGGTGTGATCTGGCCACCCTCTGACAGCAGAGCTCATGCCAGGCGGCCGGGGGCGCAGGTGGCTCCCTACTGTGGCAGGCCTCACACACAGGGCTCAGAAAAGGCCCTGGTGGTAGGGGACGCACCTTGTTCCTCTCCAAATCCGAAGGCTGAAGAGCTCCGTTCTCGAGATTCTTTGGATCTTTCTCCCGGATGGTGAAAATCCAGTCCCCAGAGTCACTGCCTCCGGAGGCCTGGCCATCTGTGTCTGTCTCCCTGAACACAGAAATGTGGGTGACTGTTGTGAGGGGGGCCGAGACTTCAGGGGGACCCACCAGCAGCCTCTGAATCTCCCCTCTCCAACCCCATCCAGGCACTGACACCTGCAGGCCACCCTAGCAGGCTCTGTCCATCTCCCCAAACCCTGCCCCTGCCAGCTTCAGCTTCCTGCACCCACCAAGCGCCCCTTCCCATCCTTCTGCCTCAGAGGACATTGGAACGGGCTCCCGCCCTTCACTCCCACCACCTCCAGGGGAATGAGAACAATCCTGCAGAATGATCTCCATCCCCCAGAGGCCCGCTGCTCCGGGACAGCCACCTGTCCCCACCGCCCAACATGTCAAAGGAGACCCTTCAGCTCCCTCCCAGCTCCAGCCGTATCTCCTGAGTGCATCACACACTCGTGTTCCATTTCACAACTCGCACTCCCTCCGCTTCCCCAGCTGCTGTGGGGAACCCCAGGCCCTGCAACAGGGCATCACTGGTCTGGCAGATCGTGGCAGAGCCCTCAGCTGACCCCGCCCCTCCACCCAGATTTGACTCCAGGGCTCACGCTGCACCGGGGCATCCCTCTCCCTGCTGTCTCCAGGACTTGGTCTTCGGCCCCATCTCACTGCAGAGAAGCTCAAAGTCTGACATCTTTCATTCTCGTGGCGCCAACGACCCTTACAGAGTGGTGGCTCTAATGTGTGTGGTACTCCTGGAAATGGTGCCTGAACGCCCAACCTCGATGCCACTCACAATGGACACCTGCTGTCCCCTGTCAAGCTGAGCTTCCTGTACCTTGGCCGCCCCAGACCAGCTGCTCCTCCCGTATCATCCCCACGGCAGCTGCCACACTGCTGAAGCCGGGCTGTGCCCGCCCCTCTACCCAAATGCACAGCCCCATTTGACCTCCCTGAGCATCTTCCATCCCCAAGGCTGTCCCCCCTCAGAACTCTAAGTAACTTCCCGTCAGGGGTTCCCACTCTTGGCTTTACAATGGAATTGCCTGGGGACCTTAAAACAACACTCTGGGTCTCGTGCCCAGGAATTCTGATCCAGCTGCCCTGGCGTGTGGACCTGGCTGTGAGCAGCTTGAATTCAAAGCCAACGGGGGAAGAGACATGGTAACACCTGTGGGAACCTCCATCACAGATGCTTCCGTGCCGGCTGCCTCTCCTCTCCTGTCAGTCAGCGGTCCGGCTCCCTGGCCCCGGGTACACACAAGGCTGCTGGACCTCACACGTCTCTGTCACAAGCAGGACTCCCCAAGCTTAACCTAACACCACTTTTTATGAGCACCTCCTGGTGCACGGCTTGTCCAGTGCCAAGCAGCCAAGCAGAACCAACCAAGAGTCACGAAACCATACAGGAAAATCTTTTTAAAAGCACATTTAAGTTAGTAGTTTCAACAGATCGGTATTTTAAGAGCAGGAAGTACAAGAGGAGAAACAGAAACCAGGTCAAGGTCTTTATGCACAGTCCTGTCATACCATTTAACTTGGAGAAACGCCGTTGCTAGAAGATACCCCAACAGTCCCTTGCAGGAAGCACCTTCACATGCACTCACACCTGCAAGCATGCACACTCACACCCTTGTGCACATACACACCCCCACGTGTGTGCCCCAAAGTCTCGGGGGTAGCCTTACGTGTCTGAGTCCTCAGAGCTGGAGTCCTCGTGGCTCTGCTCGGCCTTCCACCTCTTATACCTGTCGATGAGCTCTGTCAGGTAGGATGTCTTCTTGGCATTGCGTATTATAAACTTGTGCTTCAGCAGCTCCTTAGCTGTGGGTCTCTGAGAACAAAGCAGCCAGACAGAACGATGAGTGTGAGATGCAGGTCCCAACCCCGAGGCAACCCCAGGGACATCCACCTCAAACCCTCAGCCAGCCATACCGACCGGGGAAGGTCGAGGTCTCCCCTCCACGTCCCCTGAAACTGACTCCTTGGGCACCTGTGGGTGGCAGCGAGCACCTGGCAGGGGCAGGTGTCCAAGGAGAGCAAGAAAATGTCCCTGGAAAGACTGCTCACGCAGCAGACGTGGCAGAGAATCCCTAGAACTCACTGGAGACCAGCAGATGCTGCCTCACTGCTAAATACACGTTACTACGCTGATGGCAGGAGAGGAAACATGTTTGTCCTGTGTTGTCTTGCTAACTTTCTACATAAATGTCTGGTCCCACTCAAAAAATAGTGAGATAAATGTTAGTCTGGATTTGCCCAGAAGAAGCCAGAAAGGAGCCTGGAGAGGCCCTCCCCTCGGCGGCCCAGTCCCTGCCTTCTCTCCTGCAGCCGCTTCCCCAGTTTAGCAGCGCGGATTCCCCGCCCCACCCTGCTTCCTGTGAGCGGGCGAGGACGTCACCTAAGCCGGGGCTCGGCGCGGCCATAGCCACGCGGCAGGTTCTGAACCTGGCCCCAGCAGACGGCAAACCCAGCTAGAGGGAGCGCGAACAAGCGTGTCCAACTGGAGCTGACGGCAGGAGCGTCACACAGGCTGGGCCGGGCTGGGCTGGGCGCCCTCCCAATGATGAAAGCTCTGTTCAAGGGTCAGGCCCATCTCTCAAAGTCAAGCCTGTGAAACCCTGGGTCAGCTCGGGGGCTCCTCACTCCCTGTGCACTTAACTGTGAACCCTGAGACCTCAGAGGTGACCCGGCCCAGCTTCTTCTTCTCCTGCTCAGAGAGTCTGAGGTCAAGGTGGGGGCGCAGGTGGGTGTCCCGGGCCGGGGCAGTGTTCACCATCTCAGCAGGACCCAATACCAGAACCAAGTCCGAGTGGGGGGAAGCACTCACCCACAGGTGCACCCTGGACAGACAACCTCCCGATGGACGGACATGTGGGACAACAGCCCCAGATGCCTGGTGGGCTAACGTGATGCCAGCAGAGCCACAGGGGTACCCCTAGAGGTTCTGAGAAAATGTTGCATCCCCCACTTAACCAGAACGGGCATCATTTAGAAAACCATTTTAAAATCACGCATTTTTAGATAAAAGTTCATAAAAATGGAGAGGCTTTGCCTTCAGCTAACCTGGCTGGAAAAGTCAAAACAACCAGGACACAGGGCGCCAGCTCAACACAAGGTGAATTTCAAACATCTCCGTGCAGAGAGATTACGCCAAAGCTTTGTCGTCACAACCGGGGGAGCCCTGCCAGTCGTTAGAAGGGGCGGTGCGGGAAGGTGGTGGCGCCTTTGTATTATATTTGTCTATTCTTTCCCAACACTTGCCAGGAAGGAACTGAAAACATTTACAGGCATACTTAGCTGTGATTTTTCAGGCCAGACTTTGCGATTACTAAAAACAGCTTCACCGTCTACAACCTGACCCCCCACTATAAATACTGAACACTTATGTTCCCACATACAATACTAAGGAGAGTAGTTTTCAAGCTCAAAAAGATACGAGACACTAAGAAAGCTGAAAGAAAATAAATAGGTCTTTACTTAAAAGACGAAAGGACAATGCAAAGAAGTTTGACATTCAGAGAAATTAGCAACACCCATTTAAAAGAAAAAGAGAAAGCACCGAGGTCATGAAGACAGCTGGTAAACTCGAAACTGGTGAAACTCACAAAGCTGGGCTCCTTGTTCAAACAGGCCTCCACAAACTCCTTGAGGGGCTTGCTGTAGTTCCCTTCCAGCGTCGGGGGGTTGTTCTTTGGAATGAGGAATAAAACCTTCATGGGATGCAGCTCCGAATGGGGTGGCTCCCCTCTGGCGAGCTCTATGGCCGTTATGCCCAGGGACCAGATGTCTGCCTGCAACAACAAAGCGTCTTTAGAGAGCCAAGCCAAAGGACCCCCAGGGAGAGAGAATCCTCACGGTGCCCCGAAGGTTTTGGCAAAGACTGAAAATTAACAACCTACACCTTGGGTTTAACTTCCAACACACAGGAGAACGTTCACTAGACGAATCATCTAGCTCTATACTGAGGGCGGCTCCCAAGGCCGCCTGTCCCACATGTTGCTGTGGGCAGAAGGTGTCCCATGCTGCTAAGCAGCTGAGTCGGCAGAGGGGTGACGAGAGGGAGCAGGGGGCCGGCAGGAGGCAAAGGCACCCGTCCCCATGCTCGGCAGCAGGCACCTGGCACAGAGAGCGGCAGCTCTCCCACCGACACTCACGGGCCGCCTGCCCTGTCTCGTCCCGTCTGTGACACGGAGCTGTGTCAAGCGCCTTCATGTGCCAGAACTTTCTCACGGAAACGTTCAAACACACACAGCTTAGAGTGGAGGCTTTAATGGGCTGCACCCCCACGGACCCATCGCACAGATTCAACAGTTACTCTTGTGGAGTTCTCCCGCCCCCTCCTGCCACAGGGCTCAACAAGGCCCTGAACCGCCCGTGCCACCTGACTCCTCTGGCTCCACAACCTCCCCACACGCCACTCCTCCTCCTGGGGACCCCAGCACCACCAAACATACACTGTTGAAGCTGGAAACCCCCACAACTGTGTCCTGGACAGATGAAAGGTAAAATGAACAAAGGACGCTGCTTTTAACCAAAGTCCCGCCCGACCCCATGACCTACTCCGAGGTACCAGCTTAGAGGCTCTGAAAGGCGCCCCCGGCCCCGCGTGCGTGCGGCAACCCTTACCTTTGAGTCGTAGGCCGACTGCTTGATGACTTCGGGCGCCATCCAGAAAGGGGTGCCCACGAAGGTGTTCCTTTTGATCTGGGTATCCGTCAGTTGGCCTGCCACTCCGAAGTCGGCCAGCTTCACCTCCCCATGCTCGGAGAGCAGAACGTTGGCAGCTGCGAACAGAACCGGAGGGGGCCGCGGGGATGCTGGGCTCAGCTGTGCTGTCCATGCTCCCAGAGACAGCACACCCCCAGGCCTGTGGACGTTGCTCCACAATGCCTGCACCACCCCCGCCCCCCACCCAGAGAGCAGGAATTCCGCTCCTCAGCACATTCCTCCCCACCTAAGGGTCTTTCTGGGGAGTAAATCAAGGTGCTCTCTTACCTTTAATATCTCTGTGAATTTTCTTCTCCGAATGCAAATAATCCAGTCCTTTCAGTATCTCTCTTAATATAGTCGCAATCTGAGTTTCATCTAAGGGGCCAGGTTCTAACTAACGAGAAACAAAGAAAACGTTGCCGTTACTTCAGTGCGCTCAAGAAAGCTGAGCTGATGAAACAGTCGACAGCGATGTCAAATCAAATGGACAAGAATTAAAATAGAAAATTTACTTCACTCCAAAGAACACATGTTGCCCGAACAATGGAGACCTACTTAAAGGGCCCTTAAAAAATAAAAAACAAAGGGGCCTCCCTGGTGGCACAGGTGGTTAAGCACAAGCGCTGTGAAGCTGTCCACAGCCTCTACAGTGCGGGTTTCATCCCGGCCGGCTGGCGAGGGTCCCACATGGCGCGCAGACCTCTCCTGTCTCGCCCGCTGCTCCCCTCAGTGGTGTTATTTGTCAGTCTGCCTGTTCTGCTCCCTGCTCTGTCTCTGGTGAGCCTCTCACCCTCCCACGCATCTGGCCTGTACCCTGGTTCTTGTATAAGTAAATAAATAAAAAAAAATAAAAAATAAAAATAAAAAAATAAAAATAAAAATAAAAAAAATAAAAAATAAAAAACAAAGCACCAGAGAAATGATTTTGCTGGGTGAAGCAGAGCTGGCTAAGGGTCTCCGAGGGGCTGACGAGCAAGCCCTCAGGTAGCCCCACATGCCTGCAGCCGGGCCCAGGAGGGTTTCAGGCAGGAAAACCAATGCCCAGCAAGCCCAGCGCCAGCCAGGCAGGACAGGGCCACCAGGTCCTGTGAGACACACGTGTGGTTACGGAAACACAAGGAGCCACAGAGAGAGGCTGGGAGCCAAGAGCTTCCTGGGGCCGCTCTGGCAGAACTGCTACAATCAGAATCCTGAAAGCTGGGGGTGGGGAGGTGGGGAGTTGACAGAGCTCAATTCCTGATGGCCCAGAAGCTTTTTTGTTATATAATACAGAAAGCGTGTGTTATATAATAAAGATGCTAGCATTGTATCCTCCCAAATGAGATAGTAATTGCCTCTACCAACTTTGATTCTGAGAAATGCAGAGCAGTTACTCCTGACTTCCTAATCTTCTTAACTGTACAACGTGGTAAGGAGAAACATCAATACAGACTCCCTACTTTAAAAGAATTAGGCTCTGGAGCTCGATTCAAGCCCACATTCACTTGCAGGACAGGGAATCCAGTCACAACTAATAATCACATAAATCACTTCAGCAGAAACAACGCCGCGCTCCCTGAAGGACATTCCCTAAAGGACTTGTAAGGGATCCACCAGGGAGAGGGTGAAACACTGATAAATCAGACTGATTTTTCACCTGAACAGCGATCCCAGGTATTAATTATGTTTCCAGTCTGACAGTGAAAGCCACTGCAGCCCCAGGTCACACACTTCAGGGAAGAGCAAGGCAGACCCCGCGCCCCAGATGCCCACCAAGGACCTTTGAAAAGATGAGTGTGTTTTAAGCCGGGGTGGGGGGGGGTGTGTGGAACACAGGCACCCCAGGGGAGAGTCCCCACCTTATGCGACCCTCAGGCAGAGGGGCCTGCTTGGGGCTCCAGGCTCAGCTGGATGGTGGCAGAGCAGTTGTTTACTGGGGTCCACGTGGGTACAGCCAACACCCCCCCAACACACACACACACACACACACACACACACACACACACTTCCTGAGGGCTGGGCTCCTCCCAGTGCTACAGGAGAGTGTACAAAGGGGCCGGGTGGGCAGGGAGCCAGGGGTCTCCCCCTCACATGCTGGCCTCGGGGCTTCAGGCTTGTCTGCTTCTCACACCCAGGACACAGGTGTAAGCAGGGGCTGCCCACGGTGCAGGACATGCAGAGAAAGCCAGAGGACTGCTTGGTCAGCTAACTTGCCAGGAATTAGCCCAAATTCCAATGAAGACACTGTCCCAACATCACCTCAGACTCAGGCTCTGCAGAAGCCAGATTTTCCCGTTACCTGACCAACGGCCTCATTTCCAAGGAACACAGACTCAACTAATGCTCCAAAGAACATCCAGGACGCCTGCCTTGCCCGCCTCTTCCACGTCTACCTTTGAGTGTTTCTGGGCTAGGAATTTCAAGGTTCAAAATGAGGAAAACACGCTTTTCCCACCACGTGGGGGAGGAGAGAGAGGCTGGCCTATCTCGCTCCCACCACCAGGACGCAAGGATCCAGCCCCCAAAACCTTATCACAGAGCACAGGCTCCAGCAAGGCTTCGCCAAGCGGATAATCAGCGATAGCTGGCCAGGCCGCGCTTAGTCACCGCCTCCCTTCTATTATCGAGTCTGGGAAGAAACAGCGGGGCGGCCTGGTGTCATCCGCAAGGGGAGATAAGAGAGAGCAGAGGAAACTCACTCCATGTCTCCCCTGGATAATTAAGAGCAGCAGCTGGTTAAGAAATGTATGGCTGCGTCCTCTCAAATCCGGCTTAAACGCCGCCCACCAGGGATTCACAGGCCATGGAAGGGACCGCGCGGGAAGGAAAGGAAGGTCTTTCACGCCGGGGCCTTGCGGGTGTCAAAATTCCCTGTAAAAGCTAAAAGGGCGTCCGCTGTTCCTCGCAGGAGCCGAGCGCGCTCTCTGGGTCACACGCAAGCTTTCCCCACAGCCACCCCTTGTGAGCAGTGCGAGAAGGGGGCCTTCTGGCTTAGAGGACTGTGGCGTCGTCCAATAATCTTCCTAAAATAAATTCAGAGCGCACCTCATCTCAGGGTGCCTTCTGGCCCTACTCCCCCAAATCCACTCCTCTGCCTTCCTCTGTACTGGGGAGGCTCAGCCGGGTCCACCGCCACCATCTGGAGGCCGCAGCCGCCGGCCCCTGAAGCAGCTCGCCTGGTGGAGATGGCAGCTCGCGCCCACGGAACGTGAGCAGGGACACAGCTTCCTGGCAGGTGAGGACAATGACTGAAAAGATGGGAGGCTGGGGCGACAGGCAGAGCAGGCAGCCGCCTCCAGTGCTAGGCCCAGGTGACCCTGTGGGCCACAGAGCACCGGCCCCACAAACAGGACAAAGTGCATTCCTGCAGGACAAAGTGGCCTCAGGTGCAGACACACCTGGGACCACCGCAGTGGCAGCTTCACCTCGATGTTCAAGAAAATGTGGCCCCGCCTTAAAAACCACGTTGTAGATTCATTTGGAAGCTTGTCAGATGTTCTGCCTGAGTCCAGGACTGCTAAGCCTGGTTGGTCCTTATCACATTCCACAGTGGTCCCTGAGACTCTCTGGCAACCCTCAATGAGACCTTCCAGTTGGATAAACTACTTAAGTCCCAGGCCCTGCGCTGCAAACGCTAACTCCCCAGGGCCAGAAAGCACCTGATGCATAGCAGACAGCATGAGCCAGCATCCTCTGCATGAGGTGTGAATCCACCCAAAGTTTATCGCATTCAAGTAAGTCTGCACGCATGCTACCTTAGCATTCTTGAGTTTGGCACCCCCAAAAGGTAGACCTGGAGAAATTACAGGTGTTCAAACTGTATTCCAGAGAACCCAGTGTCTCCTCAGAGTGGCCTTGGGGGTCCTGCATGCAATTTCATTTCAATGTATTCATTAATTTTCTTTCAAACTAAAAAAAAAAAAAAAAAAAAAAGGTGCACGTTGAATATAAAATATGCCTATTTTACACTAATTTTTGTGGCTGTGAACAACCAAGTTATCTATTCTTCATACTAAATCTCATGGGTTACAGCACCAACTGCAGTTAGAGGTATCCTTTGCATTATTTAACTTTATATATTTTAATAAGTTAATATGGCCAATGTTACTTCATACATAACCCATATGAAAAGAATTCTTGAGCTATTTCACATACTTTTCTTCTTGGTATTAAGACTTTAAAACCTGGTGTGCCGTCTATGCATGGCAAATACTTGATCTGTATTTAGATTTCATAAAATTAAAACAGATCAACATACTTGAAAGACTAAATTGACATAACCAAACTGTTGCAAACCAACCTAAAATTTTTGCTAACTGAATCACACAGGTTAATTTTTTAATACATGAGACACATGTAAGTTAAGTGAAATTAAATAAAATTGACAATTGCTTCCACTCTCCCTGTCCACAAATGGCTTAAGCCCAGCTCTGATTTATTTTTGTTGCAACTGTGATTTCTTTTTTGAGAGCAGACTGGTTTATGACATAAGACATTATAATTTGTAAGTTTAAGCTCATTATAATTTGCTAGCTGTATATCCCACAATGTGATCACCCCCAAAATTCTAGTTTCTATCTATCCCCTTATAATTGACCACCTTTACCCATTTCACTGGTCAGCCCCCAGCCCCTCAATTGCATTTTTTGGAAGTCAAAAAGGAAACATCCCCAGCAAAGAGAAGTGGGGGCTGCCAGGACACTCCCCCTCCCAAGTGTCGGGTGTCCAGCCAGCTACGGGATGCCTGCGCCCAGAAGGCAGAGCTAGAAGGGCGTCCATGCCGCTGTGTCTCGGTCATTCACAAAAAGCAAATCTGGGCTAATTCCAAAATTGAAGGATTAAAACTTTCCTGTCGTGTCCCTCATTCTGTCTGATTTTCATGGGGCCCCAGATTTTTTTCATGTTATGAAACAGAAAGTCCAGAATTCCGATCAGATTTAGATCCCTAATCCTGGGACACAGTCACACCTCTCTGAGGCCACCTTGCATGTGTAAAGTGTGTGTGTGTGTGTGTGTGTGTGTGTGTGTGGTGGGGGGGGTGACAGACTCTCAGGTATCTCCAGATCAGACTCTAAGTACTGCAGGTGCCTCAGGAGGGCTTGGCAGTGAGGGCATGAGAAAGGACGGGACACCAGGCAGTTCGCCAGCTACATCCTGTACAACACTGCCCTCCCAGGTGGACATCCAGGCATCCTACCTCTGTCCACACCCCACCTGCAGCCTACCGCCACGTGAGCTCAATTTCAGGTGAGGGACAGTGGCCACCTTCCCATCCCATCGAAGGTGTCCTCTGACTCAGTGGGAAGAATCTCACAGCCTTCGTAGAAGACGTGACCCCACAGGGTAGGGTGAAACGGCATGAGCTCTATGATCAGGAACGGGGCAGGGCACGGGGTAGAGAGCGCGCTGCTATCACCGAGAAGACTGAAAGCTTGGAGAATTCTCATTTCTCTTACAGACCAAATATTTGATCCATAAATTCACAGGTTGGAATCCTAACGCTCAAGAGGATGGTGTCAGGACGTGGAGCCTTTAGGAAGCAACTGAGTCCTGAGGGCTGGAGGTCCAGCGAGCAGAGGTTGGAAAGTGTGCTGGGTCCTCGGCTTTCCCTCACACAAGGAAACAAGTCCACCATCTACCAACAGGAACCTCACCAGACCCGCCAGCAACTTGACCTTGGACTTCCCAGCTCCCAGAACTGTGAGAATCAATGTCTGTGGCGGAAGTCACCCGCCTATGCTATTTTGTTACAGCAGCTCCAGGGGACGAAGACAATTACTGAGTGTGTGGAGAGAGATGTGAATCTAGAGAGAAGAAAGTGAAGAAATGAGCATGGTGAGATGTCGGGGAGGGCTCACTCCCTGAACAAGACACCCCAACCTTTTCCCTCCAGCCGGGGGCTGTCACATATGGACCTGTTAGCTACACCCACAGTGAATTTTAGCTTAACAGGGAGACAGTCCATAGAGCCAGGTAGAATTTTCCAAGGAAATGCCCCGAGTCTGTGTTATTCAGCAACATGGTATTGAATTTTCATGTGACAACACCTTGATTTTTAAAATCTTTTATAAACATGTGATAGACACTGAAAATCATCTCAATAGCCTCCAACACTCAAAAAGAATACTTGGATCCCATTATTTAAGCTTGCCCTTTCCTGGATGGCTGGGGGAAGCCAGCAGTGTGGGGTCAGGGGAGGTCACAGGCTTTGCAGCTGCTAGAGAATAGGTCCAAGGTCCAGCAGGCCCGGACACCTCACTGCTGGGTGGTCTCCACATGCGCAGGGGCTAAACGAGGGGGTCAGTGATTCCCAAGCCGGGTCGGCGGGTTCTCGCCCAGGAGCTACTGATGCGGAGGCGGCTTGCTGGCACTCACACTGTATGGTTTTTTGTTTGTTTGTTGTTGTTTTTTTTTTAAGTGGTGAGTTCTAAACTTCTTTCCAAGTGTAATGTCTAAAAATTCAGAGTCCCACAGACAGCGATCAGCAAATAAATCACATTGCCGTGGCAGTAAGAAAGAACAAACTAAGGTATTCAGAGACGAGCGCTGCGGCTCTGAGGGACCCGCGGCCAGAGAGGACGGCTCCCGCGAACAACTTTATGCCACAAGTGAAATTCACTTAGGATAACAGTAAATCTAATTTCACAAAATGAGACCATTTTCTACACTCCTGTGGTATTTCCCAAAAGGAAAAAAAAAAATTAGATGCTTGTAATGTGTATACTTATGGGAAGGAAGCTAATCTAGTCAGAAAGCGTATCCAGCTGTTCTGCTGCTGCTTCATTTTAATAGAATTGTTTATACCACATTAATTTTTTTTTCCTGGGCATTTCCTTTTTGAACACCAATCTGACCCACTGCTTTTACAGCTTATGACATAAAGACATTTTTTTTTTTAAGTGGGCACCCACAGCCTTTCAGAGATACGTGCAGACTTAGCAGCCTACCTTCCAGAACACCCGCCACCTCTTCCGTCACTGCGAGCAAGTCTCAGTGACCAGCACCTGTGTTGACACAACCCCTGCACGTGGCCTCTTCCACTCCGGCTGCCAGGGCAGTGGAAGTGCCGGCCCTACATCCTGACAACTCCCCACAAGCAGGACCCCCTGACCATGAAGATGGAGGGCGGGCCCGTCTGGGAAATCACCTCCCACCTGGAGTCCAGGCCGTAGGCTGGGCAGGAAAGTGCCGATTCGGCTGAGCTCACAGATGACAGCGGCCACCCCATCCTGGCTCCCAGGCCCTGGCTATGGGCCTTCCTCAGAGAGGCTGCCCCGCTGCAGGGCCTGACTGCTGCCCGTGACCCCAACTACACTCACATCCCTCACCTGTCTCTGGGAGCCGCCATCAAAATCTGAAGTTTAAAAAGTCTAACTGTAAATGGAAATACTGTAAATATATTTTACAAGCTGAGTGACCATGGGAAATATATACAATGACGGGACAACAGCTTAACAAAGCCAGCTGGGGAGAACAGGCTGAGCGCTCCCAGGTCAGATGGTGACGGACTCGCTGGTCTCCATGGAACAACAAAGGTGTTCTCAGCAGCAGACCTGCAGTTCTCAACACTCCGGCAAGCCGAAATACTCTTTACAAGGGAGAGCTCAGCCCCTTTTTCATGCAACTTAAGAGGAAAGAGAAACGGATAAACACAGAATTATCTTTAACACCAAAACTGACTGAGAAGAGCTTTGGTGCAGGGCAGGCATGCAAAGTAATACTTACCAGGTCCAGTGCAGAGCCGCCACCAAGATATTCCATTATTATCCATAATTTAGTATCCTGCAAAAAGAAAAGGAAAATTATATTCAAAGCAAACAAAACCAGAAAAAAAATTCCTCTTTTAATAATCCAAGGGTGGTTTTCATATTATTTTGAAACTAGATTTTGAAAGTACGTGTCAGCAGGAAAGTGCATCTGGATTGTTCTGCACAGGAAACCACGCCGTGTTGGCGGCCTGGCCAAGGTCCCTGCATCAAAGCGCTTGGGCTCCAGATCTACTCAACCAGCACCTCTAACAGGGCCCAGGGGACCTTGGGAACCAGTGTCCCAGCCTAGGCCAGCAGCGGCCATACACAGCCTGTCCTGGGCCTGGTCAGCGGAGGTGCCTGCAGCCACAGGGACAGGTCAGTAGCCATCCTGGGGCCACAGCTGTGAGGGTCACCATTCCACCCACCCCTCTGAGCAGAGGGCGGGCAATGACGCTCCAGACACCCCAAAGGCCTCCGCACTCTCTTCAGAGGGTTTCCAGAAAAATGAGTCCAGCTAAAGCCTTGTGTCTGTGTCTGCTCAGTCCCACCTCACAAACCGCATTCGGTGCCCTTGTGACAACCTCTCCCGTCTCTTATGAGGCCACTCAGCACCTCTGACTTCCAGAGTTCACTTTTTAAATACATTCCTTACGGAAAGCTGGCCAGCAAGCCCACGCTGCCCAGGCCGATGCCCACACGGAGTGCAGGGCCACAGCAGGGGACTGGCCAGGCCAGACTCCTGACAGCCTGATGGACCGGAAGTTACTTCCTCTCAAAGTAACCCTTCAGTAACGCAGTGGTGGGTCACTAGCAAAGGGTGGGGGAACCATTGGTAACGGAGGTGGCTGGCAATGGACAGTGACCCAGTGGCAGATAATCATCGACAATATAACCAATGCCGTCTGGAGCCCAAAGCCACGCCCGCTGGGAAACACAGAATTACGTATTTAACTGGTAAGCTGGGGGTGCCGACAGGCCTGTCCTGATTCTCAGCAGAGCCAGTCTGGGGATTGCCCTGAAACGTCACCTGAAGACTGGCACTGATTCGCAGGGAGACACCTGAGGCCCAGATTCCTCTCATCCATAGCGAGATGGTAATAATCTCTGGGCTTCTACAACTCACAGGTCAATTGCCTATAAAATGGGATAATGAACGTGAAAGCACTCTGCGAAGTTCCGCTGGAGGCACCAACACAAGCAGCAGGCAATGAGCTTCATCAGCATCATCACCCAGACATGCCTTAGAATCACATGGTAAAGCCCAATAGCCCAATTAACAGGTGAAACAGCACTACCCTGCATGGGGGTTTCTGAGCAAAATAAACTCTGCACAAGACCCCGCAAGCCTGAGGGGAGGCTGCCGAGGCAGGTGAGGGCACACAGGTCAAACAACAGTAAGCTGTTTCCATTCTTCTGCTATCAGTGAAGAACCTCACACGCGTGCCTTTCAGGGAGCTGCTGGAGCAAAGCAGTGGGCACGAGCAGGCAAAGTGCTGCCTGGCACAGAGCGAGTCTATTGAGAGACTCCTGCATAGACCACAGGTGAGCAACGAGGTTCACTTTCCAGAGCAAAGGGTCCCTTGTATATATGGCTTTCTGATGCAATTACTTTGGAGTGGGGTCGGTGTTCTGTAAATGACTAATAATTCCTCCATCCTAAATTCTTCTGCTCTAAGCTTCTGTCAAGGTAAGCGCTGCATCACCTCTGTACCGCCTGCAGGTCTCCATCCTATTACCCAAGAGGCTCGACAAGGCAGAAGATTTTATTAAAGCAACTTGGGGTCATAGACTTTCGTGCAAATGTAGTTTTTATAAACCCCAGAAATGTGACTGCAAATCTGAGGCTTCCAGAAGGGGAAGGCCAGGAAAGGGGAGCAATGTTGGGAGGGGTTCCAAGGGATTGTGGGTGTCTCTGTGGTAACAGACATCTCAGGGTGTGTAATTTTACCCCTAAATCATACATAGTGTTATAAAAGCAATGTTACCACAACTACAAAACACACACACACAAACGGTTTTTAAAGCAAAGATGCCTTTCTGCTACGAGGGTGTGCATGAGCACAGGTGTGCAGCCTGCCTCGCTCCAGCTCTGTGGCCCTCAGCAGTGCCGCGGGCACGTTCAGCCTCAGTTTCCCTCTGTGCACCGGGTCAGCGGGCATGCCAGGCAGTCGGTGCCATGAACTTTGGCTGCTATGACTACAGTCTCTGCAGAGTGTCGTCCCCCGTTTGCAGCTGGGCCCACTGAGAAGCATGATGATTTGCAAATTCAGCAACACAAAGAACATTATGACAGGGAAAATCCTCAAACAGCAAATGGAAAAAAACCACAGCATCTTTTAAGATAGTAAATGTTAAAATCTAGAATGAAAAAGACAATGCCTTTGTAAAGTATGAATTAAAATGTTCTCTAGAAAGAACAAGAACTACAAGCAGAAAAGGATGAAGATAGATCAATGAGTCTCCCCCCAAAAAAAAAATTAAAGGAAGGGGGAGATGAGAAGAGAGGGGGAAAGAAATCAAAAGATTTACCAGTTCTGAGAGAAGAGCATATTCTAGCAACTACTTTTTGTGTATTTTTTATTGAAGTAACAACCCAGTATATGGGAACCCAGGTTACAACCCAGTATATGATTTAGGGATATAGGTTCACATCTCTCCAATTGCTTGTGACTACACCCCCCCACACACACACACAAGCACCCATCAGCCCCTCCCAACTCTCCCCCATGCCACAGCCTCAGTGCTAATTTTCAGCCACTTCATTCATCTTTAGCCCATGCAGGTCTGCTCCAGATGCACAGTTAGGAGTTCACATTTTCAGGGGCTGCTTTGTTTTCATTTTCTGTTCCTTTGTTTTCCTGTATCCCATATGCAAGTGAAATCGGCATTTTCTTTCTCCTTATGACTTAATTTGCTTAGCATCACGCCCTCCGCTTTACTGATGTTGTCACAAACGGCAAGATCTCATGTTCTTCACAGCTCAGCAACACTCCACTGTGTACACGGACCGCGTCTCCCCCACCCACTCAGTCCTTGGGCACTAGGGTTGTTTCTGGAGCCTGGACACTGCTGCAGTGAAGACTGGAGTGCAGACACTCCCTCAGATCAGTGTTTTTTTCATTCTTCAGGTTGATACCAAGGAGGGGAGAAGAACAGCCGGGAACTTCAGGAGCCCTGCTCTGGAGGGCCCCCCCAGCCTCCGCTCTACATTCCAGGGGAGCGAGGCACCATGTGCTCCTTCTGAGGAGCATCTTGGAAAGTCCCTTCCTTCGGAAGCCTGTTGCCCTGAAGCTAAATTCCACCTACAACAATAAAAGCATGAAGAGGAACCCGCCACCCACGCGCTTGAAGCACGGTGTTTGTCTGGTTGGTGAAGCTGCAGGCCGCCTTACAATGCTCAGGGCGCCTCTGCAGTTTGTGCAAAATGCAGTGCAGTCTGCTCTCTGTCGGCGCACCCTCCTCGGACGTGTGTCCTCTCATGCCTGCATGTGTGTGCTTCAATGACCAAGTCCCCCGGGGGATGCAGAGAGCTCCTCTCTTGATTCGGCACAAATTTGGCACAAGCCAATAATAAATCTGTTAATGGAAAAAAGTTTCTATGCTAAAAGCTGGTTGAAACTCAGATGAATAAAATTCTCTTTAACATGCCCAGGGTGGTAAAGAGGAGGCTTTCTCTCTCCTCCCTTGCATCGATCTTCACTTCAGACCACCCATCAGTCTCCTGACCTGGAGTCAGGAGTAGGTCTGGGCCCTGACCTAGCACCAACCCCAACGACGTGCTCTTTCCTGCAGCGCCCGGGCTCTCTGCCACCCCCGTGAAGATCTCCGTGGTCAGGAAACAGCAAGTCAGAAACGTCACGAAATTCATTACGGAGGCTAAACCCTCGGCCCAAGAGATGAGAGGAGACACATCCGAGGATGGGCAGGCCGACAGCTGCATTTTGCAAAAAGTGCAGAGGCGCCCGGAGCACTGTAAGGCGACCTGCAGCTTCACCAACCAGACAAACACTGTGCTTCAGCGCGTGGGTGGCGGCTCCTCTTCATGCTTCTATTGTCGGAGGCGGAAGGTAGCTTCGGGGCAACAGACTTCCGAAGGATGGGGCTTTCCAAGATGCTCGCGAGCACTCTCCCTGTGCACTGGGGAAATGCTTCTATTTGAACTCTCTGCCTCTCTTCCTTCCGTCCGTTTGGCCACTTTGCTAACCTTGACCTTCCGCAGTTCTAGTCTAGAGTGAACCGTCTGATGCCCGCACACGCTCTCATTTACCTGAGGTCTCTTAATGAAGAGCTTCTGAAAACAGCTGCGCTACACTTGGATTAGACATGCAAACCCGGGGCAGCCCTGGGTGCCGAGGTCAGGCCCAGGCCTGGGTGGGCAGCCCTGGCTTTGCTTCTGCCTCGTGAGAAAGACTCTGGCGTGGGATATAAGACCACACGCGAGAGCCCGACTCCCACCCCGTGGCACCTGACTGCTCAGTCGGGCACCTGGAGAACCGCAGGCAGCCGCAGCCGTGACGACGTCCCACCACCACAGAGACGTGGTGAAAGGCCTGGTTCTCGTCATCGGACTCGGGAGCAGAGGTCTCTACCCGCACGCCTGAAGGGGACACTGTGCTACACAAGCTAGTGGTCTGGAAAGAGCTCCCCCCTCCCCCGGGAAGAGTCTTCTCATCAACTGTACACCCAGCGGTTCGTTACATAATCGACATTTACTATGTCACAAGTTTTTTTACCCCCTAGAAAAGGGCTCCTACACTCGGAAGTTTCGAAGAGGGAGTGAGGGCACAGTCCTCCCCAAGGACACCGCCGCGCGGAGCCGCGCCGACAGTGTGCACGTGCAGGCCCGCGCGGGGCCTCGGGAACTGCAAACAGCAGCACCTGACGCTACAGGTAACGGCTGCCAGAAAACAGAATTGAGCTGCTTTATGGGGAAGTAAAATATTTAGCCTCCTCGGAATTTTAATTCATTTCAACTTTCTGGCTAGAAAGACACGAGCTGGAGCGGCCACCCGCCTCCAGGGACTTTCTTCA